CTTTGGGAATTAGTCCTACGCCGCCAGGCCACCTACAATACGGGGTTTTTGTGCAACAAGTACGAACGATGAGTGGCGCAGAGTAAGTATTCTTGGTCTGCAGATTTGCGATGCAGGTTCGAACGTACATTTTGCGTTTTTTTTCTGCAACTACATGTAATTGCTAGAAAAAGCTTTTAAAGGCATAAATAATTAAATGCGTGTGTAATGTTTAAATGCAATTAACTTGTTGACTTATTGTCCAGATTCTCAAATTCTCAATTAGAAGCGAAACCAATGATCAGATGTTAACTTGAAATTATCTACATGATAAAGATATGTGATAGTCGTTTATGAAGTGTTGGAACATAAAAGCTGCTCACAGTGAGCGTGTCGAAAAAGATGTTTTTCGTCGCAATCGTTTGCACTGCAATGCGGGCCAGGAGGGAAGCAAAACTGAGCAGGAGTTTGGAAAGTGCCTTAATGCTTGAAACATTCTTATCAGGATATAAAAAACCATGACTACTAGATAGTCAAAGTAAGTGTATTTTAAGATTTATTAAGCAAATATACATTATAGCAAAAACGTGAAATGCGGTAACAGGATTTGAACATTAGCTTGCAAACGGAACACTTACCACTGCGCCCCTCTATCATTAGTCCTTGTTGCACACTATAGGTCGCCTCATGGAAACAAGTGCCTTTATCTTCTTCCAGACGGTTTCGCAGATAAGAAAAGTTTGAGTTTCCTATTCAAGGAGTTCTCTCCCGCTCTACACCTACAATTCCAGGAATGCCTCCACCAATGCCACCTTCACGCCCTTTTCAAGCTGCAGGGGGCATAAACTAGCACTGCGTACTGGCCTTGCAAGAAACGAAGTCTAAGAAGACGGACGTAAGACAGTTGAGTGATGGCATTCTGTGTCACCAGGTGAGAAAGTTGAAACGTTGGAGGTGTTGAAATTATCGTGCACCCACATCTTATTAATTCGCAAGAAATCTTATCACCTCGCCTGGCTATCCTTTGACTCAGAAAACCTACTATCATCAACTGCAATTCTCCAACTTCAGCAGCTGATAAAATGGATGCTTTTTATGACTATTTATGACGCAACTCCTTTTTTATGTAGAAAAAACGCCGGCGGTGGAAATGAAAGTCGTGCACGGCTCGAAAATTGATCGCATTCTCTCCAACCGAAAGTGGTGCTTACTGGATTTCATTGATTCCATCTTTCAGCAGTGGTTCAGTCAACGTCTCCTTCAAGCAAAGTGTGATTCAGCCGAAAGCTGGAAAAGAAGATCTGGCACCATGTTGGAGGAAATAGGGAATTCATATATAACGGCGTCAGGTTGGAGGACCTCTTGACCATTTGTGACTGGCTCATCGATCCGACAAAGGACTATGAGCTGCTTCTCAAAGTGCTGAATGCCTGTGGCAAAACGACTCAGTTTTTCGACAAGGTACTGGACGCATTTCGAAAGCTCTCAAGGATATACTGGAGAGGAAAGCACTGGAGCTAGATCTGGCTGCATCACATCTCGAGCGATTGATAGCCAATACCAGTTGAAGAACAGCTATGCAAGAAGATCTTTGAAAGTACAGGCAATCGGAACTTTTGGAAGCAGCACAAGGAAGGAGAAGTCTAAAGAAGTATTGCAGGGCCTTCTTCAATAACATGTTCCGTTAACAACTTAATAAACCTCTTCTGCCATCAACACTAGGCCAGACCCGTTATCCTTACTGAAGAAGTACCGCAACGGATTCTACCTGCTGAAGTACGCGTCGCAATTTCATGAAGGCAGCCATGGCTTCGAGGCTGGACCACATTTCGGTTGATTTCTTATGAGCCGGAGGGCATCTGCATTTGACAGCGTCGAGACTTGTAGTAATGCCTACATGAGATTCTTGTGAAGCACGTAACATCTTATTCTCAAAAGGAGAGGTCCCCGACCAGTGAAAAACTTCGCGAACAGTCCTTTCCCATAAGAAGAGCGATAGCGAGAATCTAAGGAATACCGTCTAATATGCTTGCTGAATGCTTACAATTTTTTACGAAGATGAATTCCGCATATTAAGGATGCTGGACTGAAGCCCAGTCTGTAGAACAAGCTGGATTTTGCAAGGAATTTAGCTGCGTGGATCACATTCAGATGGTTTCGATTATTGTTTGTCGAGAATACCGCCTACCTCTCGTCCTCACTTTCGTAGACTATGAGAAAGCATTTGACAGCGTCGAGAGTAATGTCGTACTGTCAGCCTCGTCGACCAAGAGGTTGACCCATCTTATGTCAATTGGTCGAAGTCTACAAGAAGTGCTCTACAACGGTTCAGCTTTTCTATCGCCCCTTAACATACCAATTTTAAAGGGGGTTCGACAAGGCGACACCGTGTCGCCAAAGCTGCTTTACCGCCGCGTTGCAGCGGGTGATGAAATCACTAGATTGGAACGAGAGAGGTATAAAGTTGATAGGAGCTTCCTCTCGAACCTTCGTTTTGCGGACGACATTGTTCCCTTCTCGAGAAATATGAAGCGGAGACGATGTTGAAGGAACTAAACAAAGCAGGGAAGCGGATAGGACTGCGAATTAACCGGAAGACTCAGTTCATGAAGAAAGCCTTTGTGAGCATCATAAAGAGAAATGAGAAGGCTCTTCAGTTGCGAAGACTTCTTCTTACGTATACCTTGGGAACTCGAAGAACATGGAGAACGACTCAAAAGAAGAACTAAACAGGAGGAGAGAAGCAGCTTGGGCCGCTTTCGGGTCCCTAAAGGAAGCCACAGGCCAGTTGGCGGACTCAGATCTTCAATCCCGCCTGTTCGATTCAACCGTTCTCCCTGCGCTCTGTTACGCAGCAGAGACGTGGCCTGACACTGCGGATACGCCGAAAGCTCGAGCAACACACAGAGCGTACAAGCGATGTCTAGTACAACCCGCACTCAACATCTCGTCGGATTTCGCAGTTCAAATATGAGAACAATGTCTCGTCTTTGTGATCTGGCGGAATACGTCTCAAAGCAAAACATCGATGGGCTGGTCATAGAATGAAAAGACAGGCGGCAGATGGACAATAAGAACTCTGGAATGGATTCCCCGCGAAGCAAAGCGTCCAGGCCGTCGACCAGATGGGCTGTGTTCGTTGCACGGA